AGAAAAACAGGTTTTTGTCACAGCTAATTTCAGAGAACGGCTGGGCGTAGAAACTTGGTAGGGGTCTCTATAGAAAGGTCTTGGTCTGTAGATGAGCCATCAAAAGAGAAACGAGGTAAATTCCCTTGGGGCTCTGCCCCAGAGGCCTTTAAAGTCCCCTCAGCAGATTTGTTTACATCATGACCATGTGTATAATTTTACACTACTTTTTAATGAAACAGCTGTTAATATTTAAATTGTGATTTACTGAATTTATCAAAATGAAGTATTTGCAATGTTTTTTCTTATTTTAAAATTGATTTTCTTCTGCATCGTGTCATGTTTTGCAATATAATGTTCTGTTGCCAAATCAGTGGAAAAATCCTAATATCACACTAACTCTTAGTAATCCACTTGCTAGGGGGGTCCTCGTGTGCATTTTATGTATAGAAAAACACCCTAAGTGATCATGTAGGTACTATGTGCGTTATCATTTTTCACGTGGGTGCCAGCTTGGCAGAGTGGGCATAACCTCAGAATTCGCCATTTTAAAAATGGCGGCGGCATTTATTACATGAAACTCATCGGGAGCTTATATCTCGAAAACGGTAATACAGTATATAGCGAGTTACTTTTATTACAAAAAATGTTGCTTACACAACAAGGAACAACTTTTGTATTTACGAAAATGCCCTAAATAAAACTATTTAGGAGTAGTTGAGCAATTTATGTTAATTTAACCTATAAATTTTTACTATGTTTGGCAAAAAAATTCTAATATCTTTAATATACTGTTCTTTTTAATTCGGCACTTAGACTAATTACTCTTTACATTTAAGTTCAAAATATCCTCGCCACAGCAAACCTACAGACTAAGCAAACATTTACCTAGCTGCATTTATACTTAAATATTAAAATTGCCAGATAGATTTCCTATTTAAATGACATTGATTTGTAATGAGTACTTAGGTTTGCTGCTTCAGGGAAGGTTTTGAGGTTTATTTTTTTTATTGAAATGTTGATAGCTTAGTATGAAATAAACAAAATTTTCCAATTTGACTATAATATATGCATAAACAAGCAAACTTCATCAGTTTATTTAGTTAGTATTAGAGCTGTTGAGCAATTTATGCTAATTTAACCTATACATTTTATCTCTGTTGGACGAAAACAATCTAATAATTGAAAAAAAGTTGTTATTTTCTAATTTGGCATTATAATTTTCCTTTGCATTTAAGGTAAAACCCCTGCAAAAAGCATTAGAGAAGCTTCTGACAGATATATAAGTTATTAATATAATATTAAATATTTTTAACTTAAATTTTGTTACAACATGACTCATACAAATATAAAAATAAATATAGACCTTTCTATATAATGAATATTTATTATTAGAAATAATAATAAATCTACGGATGTAACCGAAATTATTATTATAATTCATAACATTTATTATTAAAACGGCGGTGGAGCGGGACTGGGACCGGCGGCAAAGTTGGTGCATCGTCCAAGCATTGACGTCGCGTCATCACAACCAGTACCTTGACATTGTCCTTGGTGCTAGGCTGCTTCGGACTGATTGTATAGATATTGAACTAGTTTCGTGGATAAAAAATGTTTCAATGAATCGAAAAATTTGAGCGCAGTTATTGGATCTAAATTATAAGCCTTTTGGGTAAAGAGGAATTACATCCGTACTCTTTTACAGTCATCAGAAAAATGAACCTGTTCACAATATACTTGTGTGCATTGCGGCAGTCAACAACAGGAACACTTCTACATTTAAAAAAGGGCAACACGGTATGCCAGCTAGTTCCGTACACATGTGCAGCTTTGATTGGGTTAGGTTTTGCAGTTGCAGCCTTCTAATAGATCACTTGCGCAATGCTGGAAATCAAATTTTGACCAAAACCCATTCAAGAGTAACCACCATCACTGTATCCAAAACTCAGAGGATCGATTTGAAAAACGTGTTCTTCCTAGCAATGGATTTGAATGTATGTGCAATAAAAATAAATATGCTGTCTAGCAGCCCTATTAGAAAGAATTTCTTCACGAGCAACGGATGCAGTTTTTCAAGAGTATTCGTTGTACAGTGACAGTGTACATCCAGTGTCTTAAATCATTCATAGTTAGATCATTCATAGTTAGAACATTCATAGTTTCACTCTGAGTATCCTTTATTTTATTGTGAACTAGATACTTCTATGCGTTTTTCACACTTAATTCTATCTCTACCCACTTTATTCTATCTCTACCTCCCCATCTTTTCCATGTCCATTAGCAAAGTAATTGGATTGCATTTTAGGGTAGCACGCTTTGTTCCAAATTTGTTGGTATAGTCACAGCCCGTTAAAATATGGAGTGCTGGGAGAACTGAGCAAAGGTTACTTCCAGGCCTGTTTGCTATAATTTGAAATAGTACATATCGTGAAGTTCTGGCTGAACCAAGTCACATCCACAATTCCTGCAAACCTTCCGAAGAGAATCTATTCATAAAGTGTAAAGCCAACACTACGACATCTGTATCCGAAGACAGAACTACGACTTAACTCGATAACTCGAGCAAAGATGGTCCAATTTTAATTAAATTTATCACAAACGTGTAAACCTACGTTTTCAGGCGAGTTCGGACTATTAAACCAGCATGATCAGACTATGGGAATGTGGGTAATAAGGGAGTTTTATGGGGTAATAATTGATATTTCCGATTTTCGACCCTAAAAACATGAAATTTTATAACTTATCTCCAAACCATTTTGTAGAGCTCAAAAAATAAATAATTGTGTATATTGAAGCGTTGTTTTATGCCCGAAAGATACGGAGATAATAATAAAAAAAATTTAAATTTAAAATTCCCATGTTATTCTTATGGAGAATAAATAAACTGTTTTAGTTTGCTTGTTAATGGATATATAATCAAATTTGAAAATGTTGTTTCATTCATACTAAGCTATCAAGATTTCATTTAAAAAAATTAACCTCAAAACCTTCCCTGAAGCAGCAAACTTAAGTACTCATTACAAATCAATGTCATTTAAATAGGAAATCTATCTGGCAATTTTAATATTTAAGTATAAATGCTAGGTAAATGTTTGCTTAGTCTGTAGGTTTGCTGCGACGGGGATATTTTGAACTTAAATGTAAAGAGCAATTAGTCTAAGTGCCGAATTAAAAAGAACAGTTTATTAAAGATATTAGAATTTTGTTGCCAAACATAGTAAAAATGTATAGGTTAAATTAGCATAAATTGCTGAACTACTCCTAAATAGTTTTATTTAGGGCATTTTCGTAAATACAAAAGTTGTTCCTTGTTGTGAAAGCAACATTTTTTGTAATAAAAGTAACTCGCTATATATTACCGTTTTCGAGATATAAGCTCCCGATGAGTTTCATGTAATAAATGCCGCCGCCATTTTTAAAATGGCGGATTCTGAGGTTATGCCCACTCTGCCAAGCTGGCACCCACGTGAAAAATGATAACGCACATAGTACCTACATGATCACTTAGGGTGTTTTTCTATACATAAAATGCACACGAGGACCCCCCTAGCAAGTGGATTATAGGGTCAGGGTTAGTTTCTGCCTTTGCTTACCACTTCGTGGAGATTGTACGTAGGCGTGTTGCACGTAGATGACATTCTTTGGAATATTGCATCTGTAGACTATACTTGGGTTGGTGTTATTATTACAATGGAAAAAAAGCGAGAAATCCTGGACAATTTGATATAGGCCTACTTAAGATAAAACTGAATTAATACTGTGCTATATTTCTTGAGCAATCATTGAAAGAGCCGATTTGCAAACAATGGAAACATAAGAAAGTCATAGAACACAACCAAGTAGAAAAAATAGAAATAATGTTTTTTTTCTTCATTTATAATCGTTATTATAAAGAACCTAATGCGGCTATGAGTGGGAAACATTTGTAGAAAACTCTAAAAAACAAGATCAGCTTTTGAAAAAGATAAGATATTTACAAACAATTTCGATTATATCTAACTGTTGTGTACATCGTGAGTATTTCCATAATCTTTGAGCTTTGAGTAGACTTTTATAAAGTCATCGGAAATTATGACTGTTATTCGTTTTAAAATAGCGCCTGTATGCTTTGCAATTGCTCGAATTCGAGCAACAGGTACACTAGTTATAGTCTTAAATGGAGTTTTGTACCATCTGTTGTCAACCAATGATGAGCTTACGGTAAACGTTTACAATACTCCTTAAACTGACTTTTCTCAAAAACGTAATTCCTTTTCTAAACACTGTAAAACTGTTCAAAATGTTGTCAGCTACAAACTATAGCTATTGTAAAAATTGGGTTTAAACTCCTGTCCCTGTGTGTGTAAACATGGCTTTTAATTTTAGTAAATTCTGCACGGTGCTAACAAAAATCAAATCAGAACTCCTGTACAGTTTATATTGCTTTAAATTTATTTTGTAACTAAAATAAATATGAAAGTAATATAATTAGAACATGAAAAGTTACTGAGCACAAACTTTAAGCAAATTCTCTTTTTATTGAAGATTAGTAGCTATAACCAAATCTTGGTTGGACCTAGATCCGGAGTTCAACCATACCTTTAGAGGTTATAGTGACATTTCATTTAAGACACTGCACTATTTGACATCTATATTTTGGAACTAGCTCCGCTACGTGATGTATTTTTTTACCAGTAAGCCTATGCATATGAATTAGCTGTCTATTGGAGATTACTTACAGATTTACGGGGGTTGAGGTAACGAGGGTGATTTTTTTCAGTGTTGGACAATGTTTTTCTGTCATGGAGTGCTTGCTACATCAACTTTCCACAAGTAGGCATAAAAATTAAATACATTTTAAAACCTTGGTGTCCTAAGTTTTGCATTACGACATAATACGTATCTTATACCATAGACATTCTTGAATTAAAAATGATTTGAGATTATTGTGGTATAATAATAGTTATTATTATTATAATTAATTATTAATCATACAAGTTTGAAGTTTTGACTCTTGTGGAGAAAAAAAAACACTGACCTGTTCAAAAAATGTAATTTATTGGCAACGTGATGAACATAGAGATAAATTTTCACTTCAAAACTAAGCAAGGAGCTATTCTAAAGAACAGTGGTAACTCTTTTAAGACAAATCATTCGGAATTGGGAGGCAATTAGTTGTAAAAGTTGGACCTCTCTCATTCCCACTGAAGTACAAGGCACAACGCTTCTTCATCACCGAAACCGCCCCCGGAAACTCAAAGGGAACACAAATGGCAATGGAAAAATTCCCTTTATAACAAAATTACTGATCCTTCACTTAGTTTACTGAAGTGAAAAATATTTTAACGTAACAATAGTAATAATCCTAATCTAGATTATGTACAAGCATAGAGATTCGATACAACAAATTTTATCAATTTACTTCCGAGTGTTGTAAAAATCGTATATACTATTTACAAGGAAATATATAAAATATCTGAGTAAAATAGCGATAATTTCTATGGCTTTCGCCTGATCCCTTGACAGCCTTGTATGTACTAGCTCTGAGTTTCAGGACCTCTTGTTAAAAATCTAACTTGATACATACAGTTAATACAAAACGGCTTTCATTAACAACACAACAGATAGGTAAAAAAAACAAATCTTTGGCGAACGAACCGAGAAGGAATATAGTAAAAAACCGAATTAGTGACTTTCAATAGAATTTCCTCCTGAATATTCAACAGCGTAGTATTTTTACGGTTTAAATAGGCACAATCGCTTTGGAATTCTCCATCACATGAGAAGTGGAAGAAACAATGCTGGGGATTACCAACACTTAAAGTGAATATATTTGTGCTTGCATGACTAGAGCATTCGATATATAAAACTTCAAAAATCCTTTCAAATCTTTCGATACACTTGGTCGTCACTGGGCTCGCAACTGCAACGATAGTCTTAGAGGAATTGTCTTTTGCTCTTAGAGCGCTATCAGTCTCATGACCAATGGCTACTTGTCGCTAGCCATTGAAGAAACCACCGGATGGATACTGTCTCACAGACACCTCAGTAATTACTATGTGAGTAGCTTGAAGAACATGATGGCTAAAGAGATGTTGACAAATAGTACGAGCATCACCAGTTGTTGTCTGGAAAACCAGTCCTGAAACACAACATGTTCAATAACTATCTCGTTCATTACACTTTAACACTTTAAAATATTACAAGCTGAAAACTGTATACAGTAGCCTCTTCTATGATAAGAGGCATAAAATGATTTGTGCTACAGCAGCACACCGCTAATGATGTTTGTTCCACACCTGACAACGTTCAGCTTTAAAATGTATAAAAAAAAAACTTGACAAATTTCTGCTCGTGAATATAATGAAGAACACACTTTGTTCAGTTCTAATTTCTTGCCCACCTGAATTAATCATGTAAAATAGTCAGGGGTGGTTTTAAGTGAGCAAGAAGTATTTGGAACAAGAAGAAAGTACGCATGCTACATGTTTTTACCTTAACACTCGGACTGACGAGGTACAACAGTGGGTTGGCACGAAGTTTCTCAGTTTCTTCATTCATCCGTCGCACCTCCTCTCTTCTCGCCGAGCTCAGTACGGATGCTTCCTCTCGAGACATGGGTTCAGCAGCTCGAGGTAGACCTTGAAAGTCGGGTAGACTCTTCTTGCGTTGGAGACTGGTAGTGCTGACTGGTATGGTCTGTAACAAGTTATCAAATGTGATTTGGATTTTGTGTTGCTGAAGAAATGTTAACGATTGAACTCTTCATGCAACACACAATCATAACCATACTGTCTGAGATATCAAGCTAATCAATTATAGTGAAATCAAGTTAAAACAATCCTGTCCTTGCGACCTATGTGAAGGCGCTGAAGTACACAAAACACGCCCTACACCCCATGAGTCAGCAGAAATGTTTGCACTCTGATCTTTTCCTTACCTCCACCCTCCCCACCAACACTGCCCACTCTAGACCCTAGTGCCAGCATACGTGTCATGAGCTGTAGTCTTTGAAGCTTTCAATTGAACCCTTCACCGGCGCCGTATCATATTCCGCAGTCGGTTGACGTCCTTAATTAATGTTTAAATGTTTTGTGTGTTTCTGTGTGTGTAAGTGTCTTCATGTTCATCGTAAAACCATGACGAACTCAACACCGAGGGATGTGTAAGGAAGCTGGCGTTCAACAAACCTAATGATGTGCCAATAATAGAGGCATAAAACAGCTGTAGTTTCCTAAAACTACAGTGAATCATAGACAGAAGCCTGGTAACATAAACCTTATTAGTGCTACTTTTAACGATCCAGTGGCCAACCATCATGAAATTGGATCTGAAATATCTCGGACCAAATTTCCTATACCAATTCTTCAAACTCTATGAAAAATCTAACTAAATGGTTTACAACGTTAACAGAAACAACAATTCTGTTGTTACAGCTTCAAATCCATTCCTGCAATCCAAGCTAGTGCTCCTTTATTTGGATTTTTGAGATGCCATAACATATCTGGTGATGCTAATAAAAGTAAATCTTAAATGTTATTTGATTCAATGTCTGGGTTTTCAATCCATACAGTCACATAATTGATTCGGTTCCTTATTTCCCTTGAATTTCCTGGAGTTTCACCAACTCACATTGGAATGTTTTAGGCTCCTTTTAAACTCTGTGGTGTAACACACATCGCTGCGACTGGTACGGTAGCTTAGTGTAAGTGCTTTGTGTTAAATGAGAGGTTTGATACTATGCAGCATGCTAGATGCACTCTAGGCGCAGTTTGAAACGAATGATTCCATGCCAAATTCTTACTAAGAAAGAAAAGGTCATGGTATTTTCTAAGTTGATATTTTACTATTTCGCAGCATTGAGTAAAATATTTCTTTCTACATTAGTAGCTAGTAAATATTACAGTTTATCTAAGAGTTTACAAACTAACTCAATGAGACATTTAATATGGGATGAATAAAATTTTACCAGGTTTAATTCATCTTAGAAATTAACTAAAAGACCACTTAAGGACAAAACCTTCTATTACAAAAAGTGGCACTCTGTAAGATAACTTTTAAAAACAAACCTATTACAAAAGAAATTATCTGTATCGTTTGAACAGTCAGAAACAATGAGACTAATTAGAATAGACAAATCAAGCTCCCGGTGTTGGGAAGATCCAAATAACAGTTTACAATAATAGCTGTCTACCAACCGAGTCTTGGCGGATGGCCAAAATTGCGCAACAAACTCCATTTTAGATTCCGGGTATTAGACCTTTAGAATTGAACATAAACAAATAAGTTAGATTCATCATGTTTAGGCCCTGCTAGAACACTTTGATGGTCACTTCTCCTTCCCTCTCTATTGTAAATAGTTAGGTAAACTATTTGGTTTTGTCCTGGAACTGTAAGGTTTCATACCTCGATGGGCGGAGCGGTGATCCAGCTCTCGCTAGCCCGTCTGGCCATGAGGGCCGGGCTGAACATGAGGTCCTCTTCCTCCTCATCTTCCACTGACCACATCGTTGCGACTGGAGTAAATGAGTCCGTTTTTAGCTCTGAGACATCCTGGGTCCCCTCTCCCCTTTTCTGGGCAGTCAGCCAACTCTCCCAGCCATCTCCCACTGCTTGTCCCCCCTCTCTTTCCCCTCCATTGTTTCTTTCGTATGTCAAGTAAGTATTCAAGTTAAGTTTATACGTTATGTTTACTGGTCCCTATATCTCACTCTGGTTTCAGTTTAGCTGTAGGAAATATCTACTGTGAGAAATCCATTAGACTAAACTTAATTTATTTTATGATAATAGTGATGTAGAACAAGAGTTATTTTTCTTGTAAAGGTGAAACAAAGTTTATCCTGTATTTGAGTTCTGAGAGTTATTTTTCCTTGGTTTAGACTGCGGTTTCTCTTCTCAATTTTAAAATCTTTACTAAGAATTTTAGCCTTTATTTCCTGTAAATTGTCTATACATGCAGTATGTCTGGTGTCACATTGAATAGGTAAAAAGTTCTTCATACTTTTCTTCTTTAGTTTTCTCATAATATGAATACACTTTATAAATCTTCATGAATCTTTAGAACCTTCAATCACCAAGTATTTTCGCTTAATCCGAGACCAGTCTGTGCACTTAGATCTGGTGTAGATCATGGCAAGAATCCAAAACTCAGATGCAGTATAGCACATTCCTTTAGAGTCAATGAACACTCAATTGAGAGAGTTGAACTGTACAACAAAATCAAAAGGAAAGCATATCCAGTGTTCCCTGAATTTTAAACCAAAAATCAAAAGGGAGTCTCCATCTAGAATTTGTATTTTTTTAAACTTGTGAACTTATGCTGCACTGAAAGACCTATAGCACATGCTCAGAGGTAAAATCGTGTTACTCTCACAGACATCATGAATCAGGTACTGCAGCTTATCAAATAAAGCAAAACCTCAAAAATTTACTGTTCTATTAGATAGTTGAATCCTTAAATCTCTCTAGAAATGTATATTTAAGAGAGCTAAGAATCTCTGGATAACCTGGCAAAAATTACAAGTAAACAGGACGGAGAAGTGGATGTTAAGAGGAAATCATTTTCTACATCTACCTGGAATAGTATACCACTGTTTCCAAGATAAGAGATGGAACAGGAGTTGGAATACACGGTGTGTAGAACGTGAACTTCTGCGTTCCCAAGTGAGTCCTTCCAACAATGTTCCAAACTCGAGGTCTTTGTGATCTTGGAGTGTGCTAGAGAGAACCTGAGGCATGGCTTAAACATTTCTATTTTCACAGACAGCCAGGCGCACAAGGCACTTGACTCCTGAGAGTTCAAGTCCAAGGTGGTATGGGACTGCCTCACAACAGTATCTGCCCTGGGCAAGTGACACTTTTTTGGGTCCCTGGACACTCAGGGATAGAAGGAACAAGGTGACCAAAAACCTGATCTTAGCCTCAGACCTTGTGGACCGGCAGCCTTTCTGTGGAATCCCTTCTGGTATGCATGTTAGTCAGTCATGTCAAGGGCTCAAGAGGAAAACAGGTGAAATATTAGGCTTTAGGGTTACAGGTTAACCTCACCCTCTTCTCTTTTTCTCATAAAGTTGCCTCCTATGTTCTATAATCAGGCTACGTCCAAACTAGGCAACTCGGTCGCCACAAGTTTTATTTCTTTATTCGTGACCTGGTCGCAGGAAGTGTCTACGCCTTGTTATTAATTATAACTAAAAAGGAAGGAGTACATCCCCTCAACATCACACATTTTCCCAACCTTACTACATTGTTTAGGGATGACGTATTTTCGAATTGCAAATTCTTTCCAGTATTTTCAAATGATCATAGTAGCGTTGTTTGATGACCTCCAACATTGAAGAAAACATTGTAAAAAATACACTATTAGTTTTAGGATTCAGATTCATGTTGCACCAGAGGATACTAATCCCATAGGGTTACATCACATATATTAATAGAAATATAATCATTGACTATGTATACCTTATATAGTCAATGGTATACTCTTATCTCATCCATATTTTCCAATCCCTTAGCACAAGTGCTGTAATTATGTTGCTACCCTACCCTCCCATCATTTCTAAAATGTTTTTATCTGCGACCGTTTTTTAAACTAGCCTTTTCAATTCAGTTCTTATAATTTACAATATTCACATTACAGCATTGTTTTGTTTTGTTACTTTACAGTACAAGTTTGGACCAATGAGAATGAGATTAAAGAATCAAGAAAAAATAAATAAAATTCTAATAAATCAAACGTCATCTTATCAGCTGTTAAGACCAATTTAATTGATTAAACAACAAATGAGTGGTTGGGACAATAAGTCATTGCATCACAATCAGTGGCAATGAGAGTTTATAAACGAAAACATAACCTCTCTTGGAAGTTATGAGTTAATTGAAGTTAATTGAGATACGGTCATAGGTAAAGTAGTGTATGCAACTAGCGTAATTAGCCTTTTACGACACTCGTAGAAGTTTTAAAGGCACTCGCCAAGGCTCGTACCTTAAATTTTATGCTTTTGTCATGAAGACTATCCTTACGTGATCGTTGCGTGAAGTACTATTACATAAACAATTACAAAATGAAAATACAAATAAAACTCATTGGCTTTTTATTGTGATGCTTGCGCCACAGCTGATCTGCTATCAACCGGTCCAATCTGCCGTAGTCTATACCGTAGGGGGGAGAGTGGGGAAGGAGTCGAGTGTGAGGAAGGACCGTCGCCGAGGGCTGACCAACAATCGGATTAGTCGTAGTGGTTAGTTATTAAATTTAATTATGTTCTAATTCTTTTCAAGAGGAGGGGGGACTAAGGGGTTAGGGATCATTCACTTTATTAATATTATAACATATAAATTGAGATAACCAACACCATTCTTGCCCTTATGACACAAGGGGAAGGTTATCGCTTCATTCTTATTTTATAACAAAATTTATAGCATGTTATAATAAAGATCAGTATTTAATTAGATCAAATAATAAATTCAAACTTAGAGATGTAGAACACACAAGGGACCCTATAGAATATAATTGAGCCTCCAAACCATCTTATGAGCCCAGTACCACTACATCGGTAGTATTTGTTACATTGAGTGGATGGTATTTTCCTGAAGAAACTTTTTAAATCTTGCCCTCTCCTAAAATGCCGCATTATAGAAGTAACAAACTCAAAGAAGACGACTACTAAAGCTTTTTCACATTTCCATTACAATGTCTTAAAGCAGTAGAAAAATAAATAAATTAGTTTACTATGAAATCAGTCGTATTTGGTTTTAATGACTCATCATAATAGAAAAAATATGGGATGTAGCCAGATATAATTATAGCCCATTGTTTGAGTGATTTAGTGTCAGTTAAAGGAGTTTTTCCAAGGGTTAAAGATTCTTGATCTTTGGCTTGAAGCCTCAATTGTATGCAAAAGTCTAAAAAAACTTGAAAATGTCATAAATTATTGTTGGGATGACAACAATCAACTGAAAGAACTATTTAACGTTTGTATTTAAAACACAAAAAATTATACTACGATTACAATTATAGCATTGATGCATTTTTGGAATGGGATTGTCGTTGTTTAACAAATGTTTTAATGAATATAAATTATTTTAAGGTACCTACTCAATATAATGTTGGGTTTTGCCCTCCCATAGCTTTTAGGATTGTAAAAAAATTAGGGTACTAGTAATTCTAATTTTTCTCTTCCAGGCTCGCTACAACCATCGGAAAACAAAACCACTTTTTGTCTGGGTATGATGTCAAATGTGGAAGAATTGTTACGTAGCTTTAAGCGAGTAAGCTAGAATCTAGACTATCAACGTTCATCCAAACTCAACTGCACAGGTACCCTTAGTCATATTCTAGACATTGTATCAACTAGACTTTGTTAAATATACAAATTTACCACAAACAAACTCACCTTAATCGGTGGAGGTGCTGCCTTTTTCGTAGCTGCTGCAACATAGAGTGATTCAGTTCTGGCTGGCTTGCCCAGAGGCGAAGGCACAATATCTTGACCAAGACCCCGTTTCCTGATGATGACGTCTTCAAAAGGCGGCTGGGGACTGGAAGGTAAGTTAGGCACCACATAGGCAGGTTTCCCCGCCCCCACGGCAGCTCCGTTCCCCGCTACGGGGGTTGTGGAACGTGCTAAGGAAGGGGCGCGGGGGGTTGACGGTTCCGGTGGAAGTGCTTTGTCCACCGATGGCTGTCGACTGCCTGCTAAGCGGCTGGCTGCTCGACTGTAGCGGTCCACGCTACTGTCTCTGCTAGGCGGTCGCTTGTAGTGGTCGAAGTGATCACTCATCGCCTGAAAATATCGGTACTTATTAGAGGAATATGGTACCTACAGTCTTCATATTTTGAATCCAAAATTTCTTAAAATACACTTTTCAGTACAGCATATTTTTTACAATTGCCAAAAATGTTTTCGTTATGATTTAACAGCTTTTTATGAATTATAACTTTTTAACCCTGTTGCTTTCCTTTAAAAAATTCTGATTTTGTTTTATAATATCAATTATCAATTATCAATTATCAATTATTTAAGATGGGGACGCCACTATGTGCGTATTTTAACCCAAATATGAGTGAAGGATGAGTGTAGGATGAGTGGCGCGATCGCCTTCCAATGTGAAAGGTTGTTGGTTTGTTTCCAAAAGAGGATGATTCAGTGGCCCCAATCCCATTTGTCTTTGACATATCAATTTAACACGCTTTCTTACAACAAGTTGACATTCGATGGTAAAAATACCAGAAAAAGGGCCAGACAATGAAAAAATACATAAATACAGTTGAATAAGAAATAATTTAAACCTGTTGGAAGTTGTAGCCAGGCGCGTCTCCTGATGGTTGAACCTGCCTGGAGTTGCGCCTCAGTTCGTTTCTTGGGTATTGGCTCTCGGAGGTAGCAGGGTTCATCTTATGCTGTTCAGGCTGAGGGGTGGGGGGAGTCACCAGCTGTTGAGGTAGCTTATCTTGATTTTGCTGATTTGGCGGGTAGTTTTGGGGCTGGGTAGAATGAAACTGTTTTTGGAATTGTTGTTGAAACTGTTGCTGTTGTTGTTCAGCCTGATACTGTTGTTGGGCTTGATACTGTTGTTGCTGTTGTGTTTCCAACTGATGCTGAGGGGATTGGTTGTATTGTGCTTGTGTTTGTGAGATCGAAGACTGCTGTGTGTTGGGATAGTTTGATGACTGTTGATACTGTGATTGTTGGGAATTTTGCGATTGTTGGGCTTGATACGATTGTTGTTTGGATTGGTACTGTGATTCGTACTGTGACTGTGATGTACTCGGATGTGATGGGTTTGATATGGAGTTCATGGCCGTTGTAGGAACATTGGAGTCGGTTGAATGGGTAGATTTTTGTAAAATTGATTTAGACGGTTGCATATCCTCTGGAGGAGGCCGATATTTTGGAATTTCTCTACTTCTTAACTTTTCCAGCCCTGAAAATAACACCATTGCTTATAGCATTCATCTAATGATTTAAAGTACACTCTAATGTTTATGCATGCTATGTTCTTAAGTATTCAAATTCAAATTCAAATTCACTTTATTGTCACATAAAAACATTTGTACATAGCAAAGCTATTAAACTGGTGACATTGTCAATTCAATATAAACCTAAAAATACAATTAAGTTACAGAACATTTTTGTCTGACTCTAAAACAACGATTACATATAACAATGCTGCTTAATTTTGTAAAAAGTCACTTACAGAGTAAAATACTTGGTTTAAAAGATAACTTTTTAGAGTATTCATAAAACTCTTTAAACGGATTTGGCTTTTAATGTTTGTCGGTAGATTATTAAAGAACTTCATACCCATGTAACTAGGGCCCTTTTCATAGATTGTTAAGTTATGTATTCGGTATTGAAAATTGTCTTTGCACCTTGTGTTGTATGCATGTAAATGCTGCTGTCCACAAAGAAGATCAAAATTCTTCTGAATAGTAAGCATAAATATATATAGAGAGAGGGAAGGCTCAATAATCCTAACTGTTTAAAGATTGGCTTGCATGAGACTTGTGGCCGCGAAAATGTCATAATGCGAACAATTCTTTTTTGAAACTTGAATATTTTTTTCCAGTCAGCTGATGAACCCCATAGCTCAATTCCATATTTCATAATGGAATAAAAATAGGCAAAATAAACCATTAATCTAGTTTCCAAATCAGTTCTATCCCTTAACACAAGCATTTGGAAACAAGCAGAATTCAGTACATATATGTATATATATTAACATAAGATGTATGAGTCTAGCATCTTTAGGAGTTTGAGTATGCACTGGTTTAATTTGTTTTGACTTCTGATTGTTGTAGGGGACATCTTGGAGTTGGCCAAACCCAATTTTTCTCGCCCCCTAGCAGTTTCACAACTTCAAAATGTGTTAAACTGTCAGTCCATTAGTTATTTAATTTCTATTTGAATACATTATAGGTACTTTCACATATAGATAGTCTTGTAACCATCACTGTTACTGACACTTGAATTGATCTGCACCATCTACTTTTTGCTTCTGAAAACTATAATACATATACTCTATACTCATTGTCATCAAGGTTGGACTGTTTTGTCGAGCTGTATTTGAATACAGCATTTGCAGAGGTCAGCATTCAAATACAGCTTGACAAAAGGTCCAGCATAGAAGTCAACAAGAATATATCTTGTGGGAACGACCTAGGAAGTCTACATTTATTGTTTGGGTTATAATTGTTATTTCACAGGAAAACAATATGTATTAAGCTACAATTTTTCACACTTCTTTGACATTTTATAACAATTTTAGATAATGATCCCTCGTGTAGGATGGCATTACTACTAGGATTTCATAATGATTTTCAGCACAACAGTACTTGCTGATATTTTCGAGAAATACAAACCTGGTTGGGTGAAATCGGGAGCAAACTGCTTGGCAACTGATCGCGCGATCTCAAAGTCCTCTCGGGCCTGCTCAGCCGCCACGTCAGCCAGCTCTGCCTTGCCGCGAGCCGTCGCTGTTCTACAACAGCCCCAGTTATAGGCAAAAAGCTGTAAAACTAATTGTGGCTTCAAGAGATTAATTAACCAAATAAACATATGTATACAATCCTCTTTTTAGTACATCCTTGATTCCAACAACTGTGCTTAATTCTCTGAGATAAACTTGAATGTCAAAACGAAAAACACATTCTAGCAGTTTTCTTCTACATAATAAAATGGCTTTTTATAACAACCCTTGAATTATAACAAGGGGTTATTTAATGTAGTCAAAATGCCAAATGTTTTGTCTACGAATGTAGATTTTGTATTGTATGGTAAAGGAAACCTAACAAAAGATATTTCTGTCATGTTGCATCTCTCAGAACAAACGATTTCAAATGATGTGTGACCATAGACAAAAAGAATTATTAAATAGAGACTGTCAGCTGTGCTGCGATTACCATATTTTCTGGCACACACCGCTGGGAGTGCCATGTAGGTACGGCGTTGGCACTAAGTAACTGCACGGCGCTCCCAGCGGTATGCACCAGAACCTATGGTAACCATAGTAACTGCAGCACCGCTAACAGTCTATATTTATTTCTTTTCGTCTATGGTATGACTCACAGTTCAAATATAAATTTTTCCTTTGTAATTTGTAATTGAAAAATGAATTAAAATTATACACAGAAGTATAATATACTGTTAGTAGATCTTTTTCAAAACAATCCTCAACTTACCTTATAATTTTTAAATACTAAACAATAAACATTACCGTAATAACAAAATAGCACCTTGATATGGCGATATCAGCCTTCTGTAGAGCTATCTTGGAGGCACGTTGAGCCGCATTGACAGCAGCGTCTATCCTCTCTCTGAACTTAGCTGAACGTATGAGGAATAAATGTTTTTTCTTTTGGGAGGTAATTAAAACATTGTTCTTATATTTCCCTTCTTCTTTCGACCCGTCTCTGAAAGTCGTGACACCATAGCCGTATTTTTTATTACCGAACCACTCCCCCTCGTATCTAAGTCCGTCTGAACGTTCACTTATTCCGAAACCTGATCTTTTATCGTTTTTCCACTCCCCCATATAAGTCTCAGTAACACTGGCGTCCATGTGTTCATCCTGAAAAGATAGAAAGGTAAAGTTAAAATCACTGTACTAGTTAAAATACAGTTTGGTATTTTTACACTTTGTTATCAAAATATTTTTAACTTGTGGGGGTTTTGAAACGGTTGTACGGTGATAGGCTAATACAATTACCTAATTACTCAATTTTCACAGCTGAGAATAATTTTTTTTATTTACTGAATTCTAAAAAAACAATTGTTTAGGCGGTGCATTTAAATGAACATAAATTCCAACTGGCAAACATAAATTAGATTATTTTTGTTTTATGTACCAAATGATATGATTTTGCCTGTTCTAAGCATTACTTTTCCTGTCCCAAGCATTACTTTTCCTGTCCCAAGCATTACTTTTCCTGTACCAAACAAACGAAGCTCCATTTTAGTTTAACAGGAGCACTAATGTATGTATTCCTTAATAGGAACCAATCAAATATGAAATTATGTTTGATAATTCAAATTTAGAAAAGCTTTGTAAGATTATTTGCCTTGGTAAAAAGTGTCGTTTACAACACATCAGCTGGAAGCCCCATTTCGTGGCTCAATAGTTGTTTCCATAATTTTGTCCAGAACAGAGTACTTTCGGGACTAGTAGTGAAATATACCACAGTATTACATACAATGTCAAAAATGAGGCTTTAAGACAATATTATATATCTGCTCCGAGATTATTGCCATCCAAGTAGCTATTTAAACAGCCAGAACAATCATTGGTGTTCACAACAAGTCATCAAGCTTTACTGGATCAAAAGTTGTTTTTATCCTTACCGTTTTGTGATTTCAATTATAACCAGATGTAAATAAAAACAGAAACATGGGAATGTCAAGCTGTAGATTTATAGACATTTTAAGACCATACCTTTTTAGGTTACCAACCTCTGTAGCCTTACAGTAGCCACAGAAAAGCTGCTGTTTTAGTTTAAGAAATCTAAGTTTCCATCATCAGGACTAATATCAAGACCGTATATTTCTACATATTTCATCATTTATCAAATTTAAAACACACATACAGTTACACACACACACACACACAAACACAGGGAAATAATGATTTAAAGTGCACCTGTTACTTGTACTAGCTTTTAATCTTAAGCCCCCCATACACTATCGAACATGCCACCCGACCTGACAACCTGACCTGACGACGGACCCATCATCCAACCTGACTTATGTCGGGTGTTTCCCACACACTGTCGAGCATGTTACCCAACAAGTCAGGTGAAATATTAGTTCTGAAATGGATTTCGAGACGACTTTAGCTGTTTGTGGGGGATTTTTAGCGATGATTTTTAGAGCCTACGGAACGAGGCTCTTAAATTTTCAATTTTATTTTTAACGATCTTTAAATCACACTCTGGATACAGTTCCTTGCACTTTTCCATCAGAATATCGTGCCCCTCTTTACGCACATGTTTATTGCAATAGAGTTTACTTTTGACATCACACAACACCTTCTGGTCTCTGTAGAGTTAAATAAATTCTGACCAGAACTGTTTATTATCATTAAATTACATGAAAAAATTAAATTACATTAAATTAGGGAAAATGGGACGGTTATCACACACAACTCGCTAAATACAAGTCAACTGGAAACTGTAAGTTGTGCGAGCAGTTTGACGGTTTCCCACACACGGTCCAACCATCGATGTATAGTAACTCCCGTGCATAATAAATCGATGTATAATCGATGTATGTAGTAGAGTATTATACATTGATAGGTCCAACATGTCAGGCGGACGGCTCGAGTCGGGTGGTGCTATCGGACCGAGCATCCGACCTGACATATCCGTCGAGCATGTCGGGTCGGAACCCACACACCGTCCAATATGTTCGACAAGACGTTGGATCCCGACATGTTCGACCAACATGTTGGATAGTGTATGGGGGGCTTTAGACTGATACTTATGAAAACATCGGCGGCTCCACAGCCGGTCACAGGGGCCCGCACCCCCAACGATTTAATAGATTCATACGATTTGATCTGATCATAACTAATTATAATTATGTTAATATAAACAAATACTCAAATCTATAACTATCAGTGCTTTAATGATTTAATTCGTAACTGAAAAACATATTGGGGTGAAAATTAAACTTTAAATGCTAGACAGCTCCTTCCTCTCTTCCCCTCTTGACAATCTACCCTAGAACCCTTGTCTGAAATCGCAGTTGCTCTTTGTATTCAATAAATCTGAAGCTGGATGTGTTAAAGTACACTTTTTACCGTCATTGTTCATTCATACAACTGTGTTTAAATTGATTTCCTGCGGGCCTGTAGTTTACGCTATGAGCCCAAGAGATAATTGGGCCCCTCACACCTTACTTACAGAAGAATTATTGTTCTCTTCTTTGTACCTCCAACAAGCCTAAAACCCCTAGCAACCCTGGGCAAAAAACAACTGATTGTACTGGAATCCTGTAATGGAATATTCTGGTTAGATTTTGTTCTACATAACTGACCTCTACCACAAAGCTGGCATTGGAGTCTGTGTGTACAGAACCACTAGTGACGCCCGAGTGAGAAGACTCAGTACTGACCCATGATGCACTAGAACCCGTACTGCGGATACTACCTCCGGATATCCCACGCTTCTCTAGGTCTCCCGTGCTGCGCTGCTTGCGGATCTTCAGCCCCTGTAAACAAAAGTAGTGAAAAATGTGTAAACCCCCAGTTCAGCTAGTTTCTAGTACATAAATATAAAAAAATATCAAACATTTTATGAATGATCTACCATAATGTGTATTTAAATATATGTTACAATGGTGAGAGATTTTGACGCATCACACAACGATCATCATCAAGCCCCATGATAACACGTTTGATATAAAATTGTATTTCTACGAGGAGTGATTTTTAATAAAATTAGGCAGTTTTGTTTATTTCATACTAAGCTATCAACATTTCAATAAAAAAAGGGCCTCAATACCTTCACTGTAGCAGCAAACCTAAGTACTCATTAGAATTAATGTTATTTAAATAGGAAATAAATCTGAAAATTTTAAGGGAATATTTTAGTAGAAATCTAGGAAAATAGAAATTTGCTTAATCTGTAGGTTTGCTGCAGCTGGGGTATTTTATAAGTACTTTAACTGCATACATTTCAAAGTATTCTATAAGGTTGTATATAGTTTGCATATACCAATAATTAATTGAAGGTCGCCATTGTCTTGTATATAAATCTCTGACATTAAATATAGACAATGGAGTGTTCTCTGGTGGCAGTGGGCCATCTGGGCCTGCCTATATCTTTATCCTCGGCTTCATGTTGTACACAATGTTGAATTATTTATGCTGTTTATACTTCCACCAGATGCGAACATACACCATTAACTACAACCACCTTCTGTATAAACATCCATTTTCATACACTCCTCACTAACCAGTAACAAGGACCTTAGCTGCACTTGTGTTGAATATGTACTTTTTATACAGCTTAATCTCATATTTTACCAATTTTTGAAGAAAGATAACTAAAATATTACTTCTGGAATTTGGTTTGGGGTTTAACCTTTGAATATACACGTTTTAAATATAATGCCCTATTCGAACCCCTAATAGACAAAGAGTGCACCATAAGTAGACATATTTAAATCCCACACAGGTTTAACTTTGACATTATTTTCGGCAATCCAAATGTTTTAGTAAAATGACACCCAGTAGTATTCCTAATGTTGGATCTTTTTAGTTGTTTACACCAAATACTGGCATTAAATGTATGTTAAATGTATTTTGATAAGTTTGATCAAGAGTAAGATTGCCATACATAAAATATAAAAATACATTTTTAAAAATATATCAACACATTTTAAGTCCCACAACAAATATATCATTGGCAATGACAAGTAAATAAAACTGTTGAACAAAATTAGAATGAGTATATTATGATATCAGGTTTTAATTTTCCCTGGAAATATAGTTTGATTAATTTTTCACCGAAAATGAAGGTGTTTTTTTTTTACTTATCTGTTGTTTTATTGATCAAATGAGTGTTTGTCACTGAGATAAGGTTCAGGTTTTTAAAACCATTGTCTGTAACTGAGTGTGCTATTATCGGCTATGTCAATGCTATATATACAGTTAAAAACTGAATTTTCCGCTCAGTTTATATTATGTGTCATAAATACCCCCGCCGCAGCAAACCTGCCGACTAAGCGAATTTCCATTTGTGTGAATTGATTTTCAGTTAAATATATTTTAATAACATTAGGTTTAACGAGTACCTAGGTTTGCTGCTACAAGGAAACTAATAAAGTGTGTTTTTGAGTAAAATATTGATATCTTAGTACGAAATAAATAAATTTGCCAAGTTTGATCAAAATATATTCATAAACAAGCAAACTACAACATTTGACAATATTCTCCATAAGAATAACATGGGAATTTTAAATTTACAACTTTTTTAATTTTCTCCGTTACTAATATTCGAACAAAAATACTTTTATATACTAAATTATTTGTTTGTTTAAGCTCTTTAAAAAGGTCTAAAGAGTAATTGGGAAATTTTGTGTTTTGAGGGTCAAAAGTGAGAAAACCCAATTTTTATCCCATAAAACCCCCCGTAAAGCCCCGTTCCCATGGTCCAATCGTGCTGGTTCGCGAACTCATTCAAGTTTATCCCGCTTTACACCTTTAAACCAAATTTCATCAAAATCGCACAAAAATTATTTAAGTTATCGCGTTCACGCACGTATATATATATATATATATATATATACATATATTAAAATTTGAACGAATAGTGTTTTTGGCCTCTGGGGACATCAAAATGAAAAAGTAAATCGGTCCCGGGTCTAGGTCTTACCGTGCCACCTACGGTAATAGCTACTTCCCTATAGGGAAATTCGCTAAAAAGATGCTACCTCTAACAGTATAGCTTACAATTACTATATTTTGTAATTTTAGTTTGGTTTGGCTAAATTTTGTGTATTCAACATAAAATGGTAATTATCAGAGGAGTCGTCTCAGTGACTCAATTTAAATCACATACATTTTCATTCTAAATCTGACTACATCTTTAGCATGGGAATAGTATGTTCCATTCAAAGTCAAAGTTCAATCTAGACTTTAAAATTCAATTGTTACTTATACATGAAAAATGCTTATTTAGTGGTAAAACATTTTTTACTTACAGAAAGGATAGATTTTTTGATCCCGCTCGACTTTTCGACTAGTGATCGCCGACGGACTGGAGGTTCATCACTCCTCGCCTTCAACACAAAGCCGCCCCGCGAGTCATCCATCTTACGGTCTCTCTCGGCAGCAGCCTCCGCGCCCGCTGCGCCTTCGTTGCTGCGGAGGGATGTCAGAGACGCCCGCAGTGTCTTGTTGGGGCGATAGTGCGAGGCCAGGCCGAAGGGAGCACTCGCCCTCACACCATACCCATGCCTCATCCCTCTCAACCATTGTCCCTGATAGGTACCTGTAACAAAACAGTTGTCAGAAACAAAAAAAACTTTACCCAGCTGTCCTTGATTGGGCTAAAAATGGTCCTTGCTGTTCTCGACTCTATAGTGAAAATGTATAGATTATAAACAGTACCTTAGGACCGAGCTATTGATCACAAAAACCTCGAAGCCAAATGGCTCGGTTGTTTATTTCCATTGTACCACTATATCGAATAATCTTCAGATAATATTTGCTCAATAGTAGCAACTGATGTTTTTCCCTTTGTACTGTATTTTGTAATTTGCTAGTATACTGTGTGTGGCTTGTTTTAAACACATGTTACTGTTACAAGTCTTTTGTTTACTTTTCCCTCGTTACTTTGTTCAACCAACGTGGTTCCTTGGCAACCCATAAGGCCAATGTTAAGAAATTTTGGTTTTTGCATTTTCATTTTTATTAGCAAGTAGAATTTTGATGGCAGTTTTAACTGCATTAAACAAGTTTTTAGGCTAGGAATAAATTATTTATAGCATTTGAAGGAAATCGTCAAAGGCGCTTACGAGATATTTGTGCAACCATATATACACAAGCAAACAATGCTCATATAAAAGTATAGGATTAAACCATCGTCTTAAACACAAGCAGGGTGACTGGAGGTTTTTGAGATCCTTATATACAGAGCTTTTATAAAAGAATCATCAAGTTTTAATCTCATGTACCTCACCCAATTCTTGTCCCACATTAATATTTGAAACATGTGTTTAAAAAGCACGTTTTCAAGTTTTATAATCAGCTGTTCAATAATCAGTCTTGATTTTTTCTCAGACGTGTTTGCATCATTTTCAAAATGATTAATTCAAGAGAAAACATTTTGGTGATAATGACTTCACCCTTCTCAAATGGTCCCCTGATCTCCTGATCTTACGGTGGGTAATTTTTTCTATTGGGGCTATGTAAAAGAAAACATTTATGTACCGCCAATGCCTCAAACCCTTCAAGAGCTCCGTGGACGAATTCGCAATGCCGTAGAATAAATCAGCCTTGTGATGCTAGCCGGTGTATGGGAAAATTTACAGCATAGATTGGAAACTTGCACAATGGCTAATGGACAGCACTTGTGGTGTATCTATGAACATTTTAAGAGCTATCCCTTCTGTTGCTATATTTTATATCCGTATTTATTTAACATTAACGGCAATAAAATGTTTTACAACCTGATGATTCTTTCTTTCTTTTTTTTCTTATTTTCGAAACCTATTGAATCTTCACATGTTATTGGGTAGAATGTAATCCGTAACTAACTATTTACATTCTTGTTGTTGATTTAGTTGGCTAATAAGAGATGACTACTCCATCACTCCACTTTAACAACCTGTCTGATTTTGAGTACCTGAAACAAGATAGGTAGGGTACTGCAAGAGAAGGATAGCTCCAGGAGGGGGGGGGGGGAGGGTTGCCTGGCATTTTAGTTTTACCAGTATAGGTGTAACAAATATTTTTACACCTTCCTTACATTGGCTGACAATATTCTTTTTTTAAATAATTTTGATTTCATTGCAATAAAGGTATGATACACTTGTCAACTAAGTGTAAATGCGAAGGCATCCGACTCGTGGCAAATTGGAAGAGTTCTTGATTACATAAGGGCAAATTGTCCCTTTCATCGTTCCAGGTAAACAAGTTGTGAATATCACCCAATTTTTTAAATTTCACCCGACTGTTCCTAATGGAGACTGTGTCCTTGCATCGGTGCATCTGTATGCGTAGTACATTATGTAAAAGAGCTGATGATATTAACACCAAAAATGTATCCGTAAGGACGTTTAGTATTATATGTTATATCAAAAGACAACTTTATTTTTTCATCTATATGTCAATTCATCGTAAAAAATTTATTATTTTTTGTTTGAATTTTAAAGCATAGTAGAGTTTTAATTTTTGTGTAGCATGAATAATTAATGTACCGGTGTTCAAAACACCATTTAATTGTAGGTATATTATAGGGTAGTAGTTTACGCAACGATTGTGTTAAAGATAGTGTTAACGAAACGAGTAGAAAATTTAAGATGTATACGAGCCTTGAAAAGTGCCTTAAAAACTTCTACAGTGTCATTAAAACTATTTACACGAGTTGCGTACACTACTTTTACCTACCTACGACAGTGTTTTTCTTAAATACCCCCGCCGCAGAAAACCTGCCGACTAAAGGAATTTCCATTTGTCTGTATTGATTTTCATAGTTAAATATATTTTAATAACATTAGGTTTAACGAGTACCTAGGTTTGCTGCTACAAGGAAACTAATAAAGTGTGTTTTTTGAGTAAAATATTGATAGCTTAGTACAAAATAAATAAATTTGCCAAGTTTGATCAAATTATATCCATAAACAAGCAAACTACAACATTTTTTGACAATATTCTCCATAAGAATAACATGGGAATTTTAAATTTACAATTTTTTAAATTTTCTCCGTTACTAATAACCGAACAAAAATACTTCTATATACTAAATTATTTGTTTTTTAAGCAATTTAAAAAGGTCTAAAGAGAAATTGGGGAATTTTGTGTTTTGAGGGTCAAAATTGAGAAAACCCAATTTTTACCCCCGTAAAGCCCCATTCCCATGTTCCGATCATGCTGGTTCGCGAACTCATTCAAGTTTATCCCTCTTTACACCTTTCTTTAAACAAAATTTCATCAAAATAGGGCAAAAATTACTCAAGTTATCGCGTTCACGGACGTGTATATATATATAAATTTGAACGAAATGGTGTTTTTGGCCTCTGGGGACATCAAAATGAAAAAGTAAATCTGCCCCGGGTCTAGGTCTTACCGTGCCACCTACGGTAATAGCTACTTCCCTATAGGGAAATTCGCTAAAAAAATCACTACCTACTGATAACTTTCTAAGAGAGCTTATGTTTTCGTTTGTAACCTCTCATTATTGCTACATTGATGAAATGAAACATTGTCCCAAACACTAATTAATTGCACCAATCAACAATTAAATTGGCCTGAACCGCTGATTAGTTGAATTTCGAATCATTAAAATTTTACTTCTTCTCTCTTAATCCTCGAACCTTATTGGTCCGTCACCCGTGTTGTTTTGAGTAAAACCACAGACAATATAATACTTTAATGTTTATTCCATTGTCTGTGGTAAAACTATGCTGTTATTTAAAGTAAAAAATATCCTGTTATGAGAAGAACTGAACTGAAACGGCTACTTTAAAAACGGAGGTAATGTAAGTGACCATTTCAGTTTCGCTTGAATAAAAAAAGTCAATTGACGAAAATCGAATTGGCACCACACCACACTCCTTCAGTAGATCAAGTTTTTTTAACTGACAACTCATTTAGCATGATAATTTGAATATCTACTTCTCTCTTATAGCCAAAGCTACAAATTAGTTATTTCACCCACCAGTACTAAAAATTAAAAAAAACCCCAAAGAATTAAATTTGAAAAATTGTATTTGTTCAAATTTTAGAGTGAACGACCTAAGGTTGGATCATTCCACTTGTCATAACACCCAAACACTGCGGCTAGGGGATGCGGAAGTAGGTCTGGGGGGGGGTCAGTGTGTCAGGGGTCGATATACCCCCCCCCCTGCTGATATAAACACTGCTGAGTCGCAAAACCATATGGTTACTGAGATAAACACGTGTACCTTCGAGAAGTGTCAGAGAATCCTGTGGAAGCTCAAAGATAGTTATTTGAGCAGCTTTAGTTAGGTCAATGCTCCGGTTGGCCAATAGCATAATGTTAATGTTAAGGGTATCTACTGATAATGATCTTAGTCAGTAACAAGATACACGGATCATCTCACTCCATTCTACACTCATAGGTGATACGCACATAGGTGGCGTCCACATCTCAATTGATAATGTTAATAACCTTCTGTTCCAATTCCAACTTTTATTATGATTAGTGGTCCAGTGGTCGAAAACTCGACCAAAATATGTAATGTACAGGATTCTATATTTTGACCCCACCCTGTATATAAAACATGTGATTGAAATTTCTTCCATTTGTTTTGATTTTCTGTTCATATTTTTTTGTTATTTTGTCACCAGCTGGCAACCCATACGGCCCATGTTAATTTTTTAAAATTTCAAATTAGTTTGTTGTGCTTATTTTGAGAATATTTTAATCTATGCACATCTACAGGAAAATATCTTCCCAACAGTAACAGTATGCGTAGATTTTCCCTGTGATGCACACGAGTTGAGAAAATACCCCCGTCGTAGCAAACCTGCATACTAAGTGAATTTCCATTTACCCGGCTTGATTTAATAACATTAATTTTAGTGAGTAGTTAGGTTTGCTGCTACGGGGAAGATGTTGAGGTGTGTTTTTTCAATTGAAATATTGATAGCTTAGTATGAAACAAACCAAATTGCCAAATTTGATTAAAATATATCCATAAACAAGCAAACTAAAACAGTTTATTTATTATCCATAAGAATAACATGGGAATTTTAAATTTACAATTTTTTTAATTTTCTCCATAGTCAATGAACATTTAAAAACACTTCAATATACTAAATTATTTGTTTTTTTAAGCTCTTCAAAATGGTCTAGAGAGAAATTTAAAAATTTAAAGTTTTTAGGGTCAAAAATGAGAAAAACCCATTTTTACCCCCATAAAACCCCCCATAAACCCCTGATCCCATAGTCCGATTATGCTGGTTCGCGAACTCGTTCGAATAAATGTAGGTTTACACGTTTGTACCAAATTTCATCAAAATCGGATCAATTTTGCTCGAGTTATCGCGCTAACGGACACATATATAAATATATATATATATATGAATTTGAACGGATGGTGTTTTTGGCCTCTGGGGACCTCAAAACGAAAAAGTAAATCGGTCCCGGGTCTAGGTCTTACCATGAGACCTACGGTAATAGCTTATTCCCTATATGGGAAATTCGCTAAAAGGGTTTAAAGAAACATGCTTGCCTATTAGATTAAACATACCGGTACTCATTAAAGGTTCACTATCCAACGGAATAATTATTTTAAGGTCATT